AGTAGATAAGCTCTACATGAAGAAGAACCAGCTCAAGAAGGACTTTGAAAGACTGATGAGCATCATGCACAGATGCTTATGGTGCAAAACTGGGTCAACTGACCAGATGAACAATGCCAACTCCAAGGCCATCTATGCAGTTCACAGGGGCATGAACATCAACTGGGGAAAGGTACTTTTCCAGTCCATCTCTGAGTCCATTGCTAAGAAGGACAAAAAGACAGGGATGTTCTCCACCAAGATGGGCCATGGACTTCTGATATCTAGGCTCATATCTAATGTCAACATAGCGCTCAGAGAAGCCAATGAAGTCAACCACAACAAGACCATCTTCCTCACTGCTTCACCCAAACTTCATGTTGCTGTTGCTGCAGAGCTGAAGAAAACCAGCAAGTATGAGCAACTGAGGGAGAAACCAGCCACTACAGTTGAGGTTGATGATGAACAACCCAAGGCTAAGAAGAAGAAGCTTCAGAAGAAGTCTAAGACTACCTCTAAGAAAAATGCATCAGAAGAGGATACATCAGAACCGGAAACCTCTGTTGTGACTCCCAAAGTCACTCCTGTCAAGAAGATGAGCCAGAAGAGGAGAAGAAAAGCAATCATACAGAGTGATTCTGATAGCTCCAAATCTCCTATCAGAGTAGCAAAGAAGAAGAAGAAGATTCTCTCACCCCCCAAGGAGTCAGAACCTCAGGGGGAACCTGCACCAGAGCTGGCTACTGCACTAGTAATCTCTGATGGTCAGGGGGAACCTGAATCAGAGATCCAACCCATCTCTGCACCAGATCAGCACATCATCTTAACTCCTCCAGAGCATCTCACCACTCAAATCCCAGAACTGGATCCCCATGCTGCCCTAGAAAGACAATTTCAAAGGGTACTCACTTGGAGGAAATGGAGGATGGGACCCCTGCAACAGATTCTTGCTCAGGCTGCTACTTATGAATCTGAGGAAGTTGAAGTCCTCAAATGGGCAGGTACTGATGATGTCTCCTTATGCTTCGACCTTCAATTCTTACAATCTGTTCTTGAGAAGAAGAAGGCAAGCTACAAAGGCAAGGAGAAACTGACTGCTACCTCATCAGAGGAACATGTCAAAGTCTTATCAGAACAAGAGGTTCCTATCTTTGAAGAATGGCTGATGGAGAAGAAAAGGAAGGAGTCCCTGATCAAGATGAGACCTATCCCAGGTATAGAGGGTGAACCCTCTACTGTCAATGATCTAGCCCTGACAATGAGGAATCTGATCAAACAATGGAGAGACTCTCAGTGTGAAGAAACAGTTCTTGAGGTAATTCCTAACTCTCCATCTCCACCTCTTCATATTGCACCAGAACCCCATATCTCACCTTCCAAATCTCCATCTCCCAAACCCGCAACACCTAGTTACACTCCACCACCCTCACCTCAACCTCCATTCCACTCACCCACTCCATCACCAAAGAAAACCCCCTCTCCTCACAGAACCCCAACCCCTTCACCTAAGAAGCCCTCACCCAAACAACCATCACCATGTAAACCCCTCACCCCCATCAGAAACCGTTCACCATCACCACCACCATCTCCAAAACAACCACCCTCTCAACCACTATCCTCACCCCTGCAAACTCCTCTTCAGATTTCATCATCAGAGCCATCCCCTCAGGCTCCTCCTCAATCCCCTCCCAAATCTGATCAAGTTCTATCCACCAGTCAGGCTCCTCAAAGCTTCATGGCTGAGATAGAGCACGTGGGACTCCAGCTTGTCAAGGGAATGAACAAGATTCTGGATGCTGAGTATACCACTGACAACCATCTCACCACCTATAGTGAAAAGCTAGCAGAAGGGATTAATGTGCTGCTCAAGAATGTAGGCATCATTGCTATGGCATTTGAACAGCACAAGGACAAAACTGCAGAGAGTCTGGGCAACATAGCTAAGGAAGTCGATGGAATCAATGCTGTCCTCTTTCATCACACCAAGGCTCTTGAAGAGCAGGACAAAGCAATCAAAGGCATCTCTGATTCCATTGATGATCTCCAATGGTCCTCTGATAAAGCTCGTTAGGAGTTCCAAGATGTTGAAGGACTGTGCAAAGATACTAAAGAACTCACCGTTAAATTGATCAATAGTGGAAAGGACAGAGATCACAAGCTGACTCTCCTTGAAGCTACAACGAAAGATATTCAGTCTGCAGTCACTAAACAGAAGGAAATCATTGAGGGTCTGGCTTCTGTCACTGAGACTCTGCCAGGGACCCTTGAAGCACTGAAAGAAAGTCAGGCAACTGAATTCTCTAAGGTTCAACTCCTGCTTGGTGATCTTGCTGATGCCAAAAAGGGGGAAGATGAGAAACCTATCAGAGCTGCAGAAGGAACAGAAGGATCAAGCATCAGAGCTCTGACTCCCATCTCTGGTACCCCTGATCCTGCTATTTACTTTGAGAGAGCCAGGCAGAAGCAGATTGCTGCTGGTATTCAAAGACCTACTCCCCCTCATCCCAAGAAAGGAAAGAAGATAGCCTCTACTTTCACTCTTGCTCAATGGCTTAAAAGTGATCTAGCCAAACCTGATGCTGCCCAGTTTCAAGAAATGAAGAAACACATGACCTCCTATCAGAAGGAAAATCTGATCCTAGATAAGGATGGGACGATTATCATAAACCATGGCGGGTCAATGCAAGAAGCAGAAGACTGGTGGCGAATGAAAGTGATCCCTGGCAAGGACATCTCAGAAGCCATCAGAAACTACCTAGATTGCAAGCTTGAACCTCATTGGAATGAATGTCAGAATCCAAGGAATTTGGCCTCCATCAGAACAAAGGTAAATGCTCTTCTGAAGAAGATTGACGATGCAGAAGTTCAACTAGAAGAGGAAGATTCCTAACTCTCTTCTCTTGTTGCTTTCAATATTTTTTCCCATCAATAAGAAAACCTGCTTACCTCTATTTTGGATGGCAATTTCATTTTATGTGTCTTTTACTGCTTTATAATTACCTAATTATGTTGATTATCTGATTGATTGTATCTTACTCTTACTATTTTCCTATGCCAAGTGTCCACCAAGATTCTAAATGAAAGTTTACTTTTAACTTATTTTTCTTATGGTGAAAGGCACTTCTCTGGAAATAGTTTAAGGGTTTTGGCATCATCAAAAAGGGGGAAATTGTAAGGAATAAATGTAATTAGATTTTGATGATGCTATAGGATTAGAAAGTTAGAGTACCCCCAATTAGATTTTATGTATTAGAATTTTCAATTGTAAGTATTAGTGTAGTCGACAATCAGAGTTGCTCTGCTTTGGATCAGATCAGAAGTGCATCAGAATTGCTCGACCAGACTTGCTCTATGAGAAGTCCATCAGAGTTGCACCATGAGAGTTGCTGATAAACTTGGACATCTGATAACCGATGAGAGTTACAGATCAGAGGTACTCATCAGCGGACCTATCAGAGTCAGAGTTTGAGTTCAGTCAGAAATCAGAAAGCCATCAGAACTCAGCTCGTCAGAAAGCCATCAGAACTCAGAAAGCCATCAGAATCCAACACATCAGAAGAACCTGATCAGAGCCCGACTAATACTTAGAAGATTTCAAGCAACATCCAACAGCTATGAATCCAACGGGTAAAAACATCCAACGGCTAGAAGACTGTGCATGAAAGGAAAGCATTTAATGCACATTAAATGAGCCTGATACGCTGAAGGACTGATTGCAAATGATTGACCAAGGAATCCGGGAAGATATATTATAAAAATAGAAACCTTCCAAAACGGCGGTCAAGTCAACTGTACGCGCATTTAATGCAGTTGTCTCCTCCTCCAACGGGCAGACAACCTCAGTATATAAGCTACTCAACGAAGAACAGGAAAACAACTCTTCGCAGAACTTTTGCTCCATTCATTAAACTCTGAACATACTTCTTGAGATTCAAACTTCATAACACTACAAGAAAAGTCCTACGTTGGGAAGATTCAAACTCTAAATCTTTCATCCCCAACAACGAGCGAAGTTCATCCTGTTCTTCAACTCTTCAAGAACTTCATCAAACATCATTTGTGACGAAGCAAGTTGGAGGAAAAACTTTGTTTTTCAAAGGATCTTCTGAAAAGAAGGGCGTCCAAGTAACTGCAGTAGTGAAGTGGTGATACTTCCGGGAAGCTGAGTGAAAGGACCAGCCATCAGGACGTGGAATTGCATCCTGGGTGGCATCTAGACTTGAAGAAGACGAGGAATGCTTCTTAAGTGCTAGGAATTAGCTTTGTAACCGATCTACTTCAAAGCTAGTGGAACAGTGGACTAGAGGAACGCGTTGTTCCTTGAACCACTATAAAAATATCCGGTGTCATTTACATTTCTGCATTTAGGATATTAACTGATTAACTCTAAAACTTGGAATCTGTGTTCAGCAGATCTTGTTTTCAGAGTTATCAGAAAGGCATTTGCCTTAGTGTTTCTGAGGCTACCCGGACAGATCAGAATCCGCTGCCAAGGCCAGTTCTGATATCAGAACCAGCCTCTCTCTGTCACCAGAATCAGACCTTCTCTGATAAGTCACTTTGGACTTAGAGAAAATTTGAAAAACCAATCAGTCTATTCACCCCCCCTCTAGACTGATTACCATATTAAACGGGACCAACAAATTGCATACGAAACGATTACATAAACTATCTTGTCACCAGCTTGAATAGAAGAGTGGAGTGAGTGGAACTGTGGGAGGGTTCCGAGTGAGATATTATTATCATCGAAAAAGAAAATAAACCATGCTGTAGAAGTGTACAGTAATTGGATTCTAAAATAATTTAGGGTTAGTCCAGGAGACAATGCTGAAAATAGTAAGACTTATACTGATATGAGCTTGACAACTTCTTAAGACCAAAACAATACTTAAATACACATATAATATAGAGTTACATACAAAAATAACAAGTCTCAACGGGCTAAACCTGAGGTTTCAAAATGAGGTTTTCTACAATTTAACATGATTATGTGTACAAGGTAGTGAATAAGAATGTGTTACCTGCATTTCAGTCACATGATGAACTGCAGATTTCCAAGATCCAACACCTGTCTCTAATTGCCTTGCCCAACTTCGTGCATGTTCCCAATAACCATGCTTTTCTAATGCAACTAATAGTGATGCATCATCCATAGACTCACTTGATAGGTAAAGATCATCACCTTTTTGTAACGATGGTTCTGCCAAATTAATTTTCCAAAGAAGCCGTCGATATGATGCTGCAGCAGACCCCCCATCACCAAATTCAGTAGCAGCAAGGAGCTGTAGTAAACATCTCTTTTCATACGATGAGGCACATTTTAAGAGCACTGCATCAGCAGCTTTGACAGCTGTGGAGCATATCCAAAAATTCCCAACTTGTCCTTTCCACATATGTGTATGTGTTTGAGGTTCTTCCTTAATTCTGGCAGAAAAGGACCCCAGATGTGCTGAAGCTTCGGCAAGACGCATTTGTGAGAAAGCCTGAAGATACACAAGAATATTAGTGAAATCTAAAAATATTGATGCCTCTTCAGACAGGAACATTTGTGGAAAGCCTTAAATTACACTAGAATATATTTTTATATCTAGAAACGTTTATGCTAGAAAGTTAAGAGCTGAAAATAAAAATCAACAGTATAAACCGTTGCCCAGAGACAAAAGGCTAAACTCCAATTTTATTTCTAGATGATCCAGAATGAATCCTAACCAGAGATATAAATACCCTTGACCCTTCTAGTAACGGACTCAACAAAAACCCTAATCGAGCCCAAATTAAGTAAACCCTAATCAGCCCAAATTAACTCTACTAAATATTCTACAAATAATAGGCCCAAACTAGAAAAGATAACATAAACTTTATAATAATAAATAAAACTATAATCCCAGCCCACAGAGGTGGGCCCAAGCCCGTTCCCGCCCCCTGCTGTCCCTACTCTATCATAGAACTTCAATATTAAATCCATTAAATAAGTAATTGAGAAAATAAAGTTGGGAAAGGGTATTATTTATTGGTGTATGATGGATCATCTTTACAGGAATGCACATCTACATTAACAACCTATAGCATTAACTCAAGGAGAAGAGATTACCGATACTCCAAAGCGCTTCTTAGTAACAAGCAGTTAACATGATGATACCCGGATACTATGCCTAAACGCAGCTAAACAAATTAACATATAGAAAGAGGCTTGAAATTTGAAAAAAATACATTCACAAGTATGGCATAACTAATGCTCCTACAGAACTGAAAGATATAAATCTAATAACTGGAACTGGTACAAAGTTTTATAGTATTGAGGCACCACATTAACAATTATATAAAGCATGTGTTTGATACATACATCTGAAATTCATGTCGGGATAATTTTTTTTTAAATTGATTGTGAGAAGCAAACAACAAACAAGCAACATCCAAGCCTTAATCCCAAAAGATTTTGGGGTCATCTAAATTCTAACATGAATACATCTATGATATCGATGCCAAAAAGAGAAGATAGACAAGAAGAACAAAAAAGGATAAAATGAATAAGATAAAGATAAATAAATATAAGATAACAATAACATAAGAATATAAGAAAGATAAAAGATTAAAAGATCAAGCAAAAAATTCTTCAGAGCTTGTAAGCCATTCCCAAGTGGATATTGCAAATCATCTATTGACTACCAAATTTTCAACTTGGAGCCTTGGACGTGTGGTAGGACACTGACAATAATCAGAGTAAACGATAGCTAATCTAAGGAAAATTAGCTAAGAACAGATCGATTAGAGTTTATTGAAGTAAGAAGGGTCTCAAAGTAGGTATACAAGCCAAGGGACTGTTCGAGAAGCCCACTCTCCAAGCCAACCATCAACTGAATAACAGCCTACCTTATTTAGCGATCACCCTTCTATTTATAGCTCATATCCACACAGGGATAAAACTGAACTAACTAACTCGTTAGTTATTAACAAACTTCTTATTTCTCCTCTTATACACATTATTAAAATATGTAATAGGCTGCAGCACCGGTTGCCTATCAATACTTCCATCTCTCCTTTGTTCATCCTTGAGTCTAGGGCTTCTTCAAGTATCACCTGTAATTCCCATTCTTCATCTAGGCATTTGGGTAGTGGTTGGAAAGCAGTTGTAGGTGAAATAGCCTTCTTCAATAAGGATATATGAAACACTGGGTGCACCTTACTATCTTCTGGCAGTTTGAGCTTAAAAGCTACATAACCTATTTTTCCAAGCACCTCAAATGGACCATAATATCTGGGGCTGAGTTTCTGATTGAGCCTCTTGGCTAAACTTCTTAGCTTGTAGGGTTGAATCTTCAAGTATACCTTACCCCCCCCCCCCACTTCCAACAAAACTTATCTTCTACGTTTGTTAGCTTGCTGTTTCATCTGGTTTTGAGCTCTTTCCAAATTGTCCTTCAGTTTCTGAATCATCAAATTTCTCTGAGCAGTGAGCTGTGATACTTCTTCTAGAGCTGTCAGGCTTGCATCTTCTCTAACCACAGTAGGTGAATCCTGACCATCTAAAGCCTTGTAAGGTGTCATCTTTAGTGAGGTGTGATAGTTGGTATTGTACCAAAACTCAGTCCAAGCTAACCATTTAACCCATTGTTTGGGTTTCCTCCCAGTAATACATCTCAGGTAAGTTTCTATACACCTGTTAACTACCTCAGTCTTAGGGGCGTAAACGAGCCGAGCCCGAACTCACATATGCTCGAACTCGAGCTAGAAAATATTTTACATGCTCGAGTTCGGCTCGAGCTCGATCGAGCTTAAATATTGAAACTCGAGTTCGACTCGAAAGCTTTGCTTAAGCTCGCGAGCCGCTCGAGATCGACTCATAAGCTTAGGCATTTGTTGCAACCTTCGAGAATGTGCGGGCATGAAGCTCGCTTGGTGCTGCATAAATTCTATGGAGATGAGGTGATATATAGATGGATGTGAGAGCAAACAACTCCTCACTATCCGGTGTGGGAAGTATAAGAGCTATAAATGAAAAACAAATGGAGGAATCAGACCTAAGGAGTACAAAATCCTACCACTGAAGGGATTCGAACCCTGGTTGCTAGGGAATGCCTAGCATGCAAACTCCACCTCATCTACTTGCACGTTTGTGCCGAAGTTGATGACAAATTATACTTAACCTCATTCCCAGTGAGCAAATGAAAAAACTAATACCCATAGGTAATAGTTATAATAATAAATAATGTTATATTTAATTATTTATATTATATTAAAATAATTATAAAAATTGAGTAACCTTAAATTAGAATAACTATTCCAAAAATATTATATATATAACTATTATACATTATACATAATATATCTTATACACATTCATCAAAGCTCGCGAACCGGCTCGCGAGCCACGAGCCTAAAATAAAGAGGCTTGACTCGAGCTTGTTTAATAAACGAGCCGAGCCGAACTCGAGCAGAACATGGATATAACCGAACTCGAGTCGAGCTTTTTTCGAGCGATCCACGAGCGACTCACAAATGGCTTGGCTCGTTTGCACCCCTACTCGGTCTGACCATCAGTTTGAAGATGGTAAGCAGTGCTGTATTTGAGTTGGGTGTCAACCATCTTGAAAAGTTCAGACCAGTTTGAGGATGCTATCTGTGTCACTCACTATAGTTTTAGGAAAGCCATGCAATTTTACTTCCTTTGTAAACAGTTCAACTACTTCCTTGGCATTAAAGGGGTGAGATAAGGCCAGAAAGTGAGCTGACATGGCCAATCGGTCTACAATGACCATGATAGTATCCTTCCCTTGTGATTTAGGTAGTCCCATCAATAAAGTCCATGCTGATGTGGACCATATGCTCTTAAGAATAGGTAAGGGTTGTATCAGTCCAGCTGGCTTTAAAGCTTGGTACTTGTTTGTTTGACATGCCAATAAAACAAGTTAGAAATTCTTTTCATGGCTCTGAAATGTCCTGAATGACCCCCCAATGCAGAATCATGGTACTCATTTAAGATCATGATTACTCTAGGGGATGTACTAGGTAATGCTAGTCTTCCCTTGTAATATAGTGACCCTTTAGTGATCTGAAATTCCTGGTATTGATCAGGCTGTGAAATGACATTCTGAATTAAGGAAAGACATTTAGGATCTGCCATTAACACTTCCTCCAATCCTTCCCATTCTTGACAAGTTACAATGGATAAAGATTGTAGGCATGGTCTTCTGGAAAGGGAGTCTGCAGATCTGTTTTCCACCCCTGGCTTGTACTTGATGGTAAAATAATACCCCCAATAGTTTGGAAGTCCATTTTTGTTGTTCCTCCCCCATCAACCTTTGCTCAGTCCAAAATCTCAGGCTCTATTGATCAGTGTGGACCTCAAAGGCTCTTCCTAGTAAGTAGGTTCTCCAATTTTGTAATGCCAGAACAATAGCCATTAATTCTCTCACATACACAGACCCGTTCTGATTTCTCTTAGATAATTCCTTGCTCATGTAGGCAATGGGCTTCCCCTCATGCATCAAAACAGCCCCCAAACCATCCCCTGAGGCATCAGTCTCCACTATGAACATTTTATTGAAATCAGGGGTAGCCAGAACTGATAATGTTGTCATTTTTTTTCTTCAATTCTTCAAAAGCCTGAGTAGCAGAAGGTCCCCCCTGAAAATTTTCCTTTAGAAGCTGTGTCAATGGTAAGGAAATGTGACCGTACCATTTGACAAATCTTCTATAGTAACCATTTATTCCTAGGAAGCCCCTTAGCCCCTTCAAGTGTTTGGGTTCTTGCCATCTAACCATGGCCTCTATATTGGTAGGGTCTGCAGCAACTCCACTACCAGATATGATATGACCCAAATACCCTAACTGAGATTGCCCAAAAGAACACTTTTTTGGGTTTATCACCAATTGATTATCCTGCAAAGCCTGTAGAACTATCCTCAAGTGTTCTTGATGTTCTGCTTCTGATGTGCTATATACAAGGATATCATCAATGAAAACCAGGGAAAACATCCTTAAAAAAGGTCTTAAAACTTGGTTCATCAAAGCCTGGAAAGTAGAAGGTGCATTGGTGAGACCAAATGGCATTACCAGGTACTCATAATGCCCTTCATGAGTCCTGAAGGCTGTTTTCTGTCTGTCTGTCTTCCTCCTTCATTCTAATCTAATGATACCCAGATTTCAGGTCCAGTATAGAAAAAATCACTGCTCCACCTAGCTCATCCAAAAGTTCCTCAATGATGTGTATTGGAAATTTTTCAGGTACAGTAATCTTGTTTAGAGCCCTATAATCACCACAAAACCTCCACCCACCTTCTTTTTTCTTTGCTAGTAATATAGGGCTGCTGTAAGGGCTGTTACTAAGCTAAATTATACCTTCACTTAGCATCTCTTTTATGATTCTTTCAATCTCAATTTTCTTATACTGAGGGTATCTGTAGGGCCTAATGTTTGGGATGCTGGCTCCCTCCTGAATATGGATGGCATGATCATAGGCAACCGGTGCTGCAGCCTATTACATATTTTAAAAAAGTGTATAAGAGGAGAAATAAGAAGTTTGTTAATAACTAATGAGTTAGTTAGTTCAGTTTTATCCCTGTGTGGATATGAGCTATAAATAGAAGGGTGGTAGCTAAATAAGGTAGGCAGTTATTCCGTTGATGGTTGGCTTGGAGATTGGGCTTCTCGAACAGTCCCTCGGCTTGTATACCTACTTTGAGATCCTTCTTACTTCAATAAACTCTAATCGATCTGTTCTTAGCTAATTTTCCTTAGATTAGCTATCGTTTACTCTGATTATTGACAGGTGTCCTATCATTGGTATCAGAGCATTGGTCTGGTGATCGGAATTTGTTGTAATATCACCAGAATTGTTCAATTTCTTCGTTCGGATTGTGAATGGTTCGAACGAGAGGAAAAATGGAGCAACAATTGGAAGCTGTGGAACGCAGTAAGGTCACGATGGAGGAAACGTTATTACGGATGGAAACGATGATGGAACACCTGACATGAAGGATGGATACGATGAGCGATGAGTTCCGCCAGAGAGGAAAATCGCGATCTCATCACTGTTACCATACGCGACCTTCAAACAGTCCTGTGGTTTCGAGAGGTAATTCTGCTCACTCGATTCCTGTTAATCATAGAAGACACGAAGAGTATGCTAGATTCCCAGTTAGGATGTTTTTACTTGGACTGTAATTTGTCCCAGACCAGACCAGACCAGTCCAGACCAGACCAGACCAGTTCAGACCAGACCAGACCAGACTTGGATAGTTATAAAAATACAAAGAAACCAGACCTTACCAGACCAGACCAGACCAGTTCAGACCAGACCAGACCAGACCAGACCAGACCAGCAAATTACAGTCCAAGTAAAAACATCCTCAATACCAGTCGTAAGGTTGATCTACCCTTGTTTAATGGCGATGGGGCTTATAATAGACTGGTAAGAATGGAGAGATATTTTAGATTGACTCGCACTACTGAGGATGATAAGGTTGAGGTATCTGTACTAGCCATGGAGGATAGGGCTCTTGACTGGTTTCAATGGTGGGAACACCAGACCGAGGAGAAGAACGGGGAGTCGCTTAAGGAATCTATTATTCATAGATTCCAACCTGATCTCTTGCAGAATCCATATGGGTCGATGTTGAGATTGAGACACACAGGTACTGTAAGAGAATACAGAGATGAATTTGAGATGAAAATAGCTCCACAAAGAAATGTTGACAGGGAAATATTGAGGGGAGTGTTTATCACTGAATTAAAAGAGGAAATCAAAGCTAAGATGAAACTATATAATTCCAGGTCATTAGCTGAAGTGATGGATATGGCTTTGTTTGTTGAGAGAAGAAATGAAGCAATGTATGGAAAGAGACAGGAGGATGATAAGATTGGTGGGAGAGATAAAGGACCAATCTATTCTAAACCTCCAAATTGGGGAGATGGTTATAGACCTAAAGCTGGCAGTTCAGGAGTTACTAATCAGAACAAAACCAAGCAAGCTTGGTTTAATCCTGTGGGGAAGAAAGTGACTGAAATAAACCCCTCAGGAATAAGAAGGGTGGGGCCACAGCTTTCACAAGAAGAATACCAAGATAGAAGCCGGAAGGGGCTTTGTTTCAAGTGTGGTGAAAAATGGAGTAAGGAGCATACATGTAAAATGATGAATTACAAGTTGATTTTGGTGGAAGATTCAGAGGAAGAGGAGGAATTAGATAACACAGAAGGGATAATTCCAGAAGAAGAAGAGATCATCATGGAATCCAAGTCCATGCAACTCCCATTGATGAGTAAGGAAGGAATTCCTTCCATGAGGGCCTTCAAAGTCAGTGGTTATGTCAATTGGACTTTGGGAGAAGAAAAAGTAGATGTGCTCATTGACAGTGGGGCTACACATAACTTCATAGCTCAGAGGATAGTTGATCAATTGAAGATACACTACAACACAATCGCAGGCTATAAAGTGCAAATTGGGAATGGGGACAAATTGACGAACAATGGGAGATGTGAAAAACTGAATTTATGCGTGCAGAATACTGTGATTCAGCAGGATTTTTACATCCTGGAACTGGGGGCACAGATATGGTACTGGGGATGGAATGGTTGACCAGCCTAGGAGATGTGGAGGTCAATTTTCAAAAGCAAACTATTAAATGGATTACACAAGGAAAAATGCAGATGATTCAAGGGGATCCACAACTCAACCCCTTTGAGGTTTCTTTGAAAACAATGGCTCATATCTTACATGATGCAGGGGATGGATATTTGGTTTACTGTGAAGGGCAAACTGGGGATCTGAAAGATGAAAGGGAGGAAGATGAAACCTGGAAACAGGTTCTAGCTGAATTTCCAGAAGTTTCAAAACCTTTGAAAAAGCTACCACCCTTCTATTTATAGCTCATATCCACGCAGGGATAAAACTGAACTAACTAACTCGTTAGTTATTAACAAACTTCTTATTTCTCCTCTTATACACTATTAAAATATGTAATAGGCTGCAGCACCGGTTGCCTATCAAGGTGAAAGTAGACAACCTGGAATTCTTCCAAAGTTGTGTTATTAATCAGAATGCACAATTTGAGTACTTCAGTTATTATGGGTGTTCTTAACCATATTAAAAAAGGGTGTCTTAACCAGCATGCACAATTTGTGTACTTCAGTTATTATGGGTGAATCACATGGTTCCAGTCTTTTGGCACCAGGGCGTGACTCACCATCTAGTCAGCCTTTAGGTTAAGGAGCTATATATGGCAAACACATTTTCCAAAGTATGAGCATCTTTCAAAAAGAACTGAAATGACATACGTGACAAGACTAGAGAGCAAACCTGGAGAGCACGGATAAACGGTAAGAAGGAACATGAAGGAAGAAACATTTCAAAAGCCCTGAGAAGTGGTAGAAACAAATTCTTTTCACAAAGAACTGCAACCATCCTTGATAAAGAAGCACAAACTTCGGTGGAATCCATACAAATGTTTCCATCTTGAGCTACTTGCTTAGCCAGTTCATCTTCAGCAATAATATCATCAACCTTTACATTGCCAGAGCTTGAAGATACTTTAGGGGCCGTAGAAATCAAAGAATCCACAGGAGTGTTATCCATCAGCCGCCTACGTTTTGAATTCCTTCGGTTATAATGCAGCGTTGGAGATCTAGCACTTGCTGAAAGAGAATTAGTCGCCTCCACGGCTGCACCAACATTAGTTGCAATCTGAGAAGCAATGTTATTAACCTTGATAGCTGAAGTTTCCCTGGAAAGATAATAAAATTAGGAGCGCAATGATGAGTATGTAAGAAGTATTTGTCAATAAGAAATCATAAAGAAAACATGATGTACAAGAAAATAAGAGTGATAATGGGTGACCTAGCTGCAGTAATTTCCAGCCAAACTGTAAGGCAGGACAAAGGAGAGACATCAGGAAAACAAGATGCAATTATGGCCAACAGTGACCAACACAAATTTTTTGCTTTTTGAAGAAGAATCTGTCCGGGACTGTTCCTATTCTCACAATCTGCTATAACTCCAAATAGCTCAGTAGGTGCATACAGGATTTCGTTTGACAAAGAAGTTTGTCCCTCCTCTTCAGCTGTATGTAAGCTTGATGAGGAGCTAACTTTTTTTCTTGCCTGCATACTTCTTAGAACTGTTGTTATATGTATTTTTAGACGTAGGTCACTGAACTCTTCAGATGCCTGAAACAGACAAAATAATATTTGAGAAGGGAGTACAGAAGAAAAAAATTCAGTCAGACGGTAATGTAAACATGGTGAATTTCGCTGAGGAAAAGCAATTTCTGAGGATGGCATAAGGGGCTTACAACATCGATTACAATCTTGGAAGGATAACCTCCGATCTGAGCTTCTGATAGAAATCCAACCTAGCAGAAAAGGAATAAACCATTTAATCATTTATAGCTTTGGTAGGAAACAAACTCAGTAATATTTATGATTCAAAAGGCTCCATAGAAAGGACATACCCAATCATTGTCCCTTGCTAATACGGCAAGGTATTTAGTGCTCACGGGGACATTATGTGCATGGCAAAAAGCTATCACTAAATTCCAATGCTGGCTTGCTGATTTTTGCTGAGACCTCAATTCAACCCCATCCCCATTACCAGTCAACAACCACGATCCACATGTTGGTCCTTCTGTTACTAGAGGAAGACTAGCCTTTTCCAAGTGTTGCAGAACCAGCATGAGAGCTCTAGGTTGATGTCTGCCAGTGATGCTATGCTGATTGTCTTTTTCACTACCAAATCCAAGACAATCATGGTGACGATAATAATCCGCCAGTGCCCGGGCAAGAGATTCACTTATATCCCCGTCAATACTAGATTGAGCTGAAGAACTCCTAGATGTAAATTTTCTGTTGTGATCAGCATAATCTCCAGATTTTTGAAAGGAAGATATCCTTCTTAAAGCTGCAACATCAATTTGGATGGTACTGGCAGGAATACCACATAACTCTAATAGAAATACACAGGAAGCCACCAACACAGAATCTTCAAAATGCAGAATAGCAAGGGGAATGACCTAAGATCCGAACAAGACAGAAAATGTTCAAATAGAGAATTAACAAAAAAATCCTTAAAATGCAGCCTTTGCTTCTCCTATGAAATTTTTATTGAAAGAATACTTCAGATAACACGGTTGACTGCACCAATCACTACAGAAGACAGATGAAGTGATAACCCTGGCTCCTTTAACCATGGATGCAAAAATCACAAGGTGTACCCTACCGTAGTCGGCTAATCCCTTAATATACCTAATAACAAGTTATATACTTGTAATATATTATTGTACATTATATCTGGAGTTTCTTTTGGGAATAAGGCTGGGATGTTGTTGTATGTCTGGAGTTTCTATTAAATACTAGACAAGAGGAGTGTTACAAATAAAATGCTAGTTAAAGGCCAATTTGGCCTTCTCATAACCCAACAGCTAGAGAAGGCCAAATTCGAAAATTTTACTTCATTCTAGGGGTGTCTAACGCCCTCCCCTCTTGTGCAAATTTTACAACTCCGCTTTTAGCATTATATTGTCATCTCTGACTTCATAGAGAATTATGACTTATAAGAATGTTCCAAATTATTTGCAATTTATTACCTTCTAAAGATCTTTCTACAATGCCAAGGAACATGCAGCCCAATTTCATAACGCATTAGATTAAGACTCGAGACCAAAGTGTCAAGATCAATTTTCACCCCCCACCCCAGAGCCGACCATATCTTACCCACCCAAAAAACTCCCATAGAAGATGCTGGAAAAATCAGAATCTTCAAATTCACAACAGAAAACTCAAGTATGGAAGCAAGTATATCTCATTCCATCATAAAGGTCTAGATGTAATGTTTTAAGTTAGATTTGGATTCATTTACCTTAACCTTATCCCGCTTTCTGCTGATATAATATTGAGTGAAAAGAAGTAGATTTATAACGATGGAAGATATTAAGAATAAAGATGAAAAAAATGTACTAGAAACTTTGAAAGGCATACATAGTATTTTTATATGATAAAAAAAATGCTGAAGTATGCTGAACAATTCAGGCTCAACTGCACATGCATAATTTAGAGGCCTACATGACATAACATAAAAAGAATAAACTTGTTCAAGGAAAGAATATGATCATACTGATAAGAGAAGAAACTGTTCCGTCTCAGTTACGGGCCCAAGAAGTTTCTGCATATCTGATTGGATGATGGCCTGACTCTGGCCATGTGCAGAAGTTCCAAGCCGCACTCCCTGTGAACTTTCAGGTTTCAACTTCTGAGCTCTCAATGAAAGGAGATGACTAAAAGCTGCTAATGCCCGTCCACGATGCAAATGGTGCTCAATCCCACGTTCAGATTCCTTAATCAAAGATATATGTTGATGAGTAAGAAACAACATTCATGGAACATTTTGTGATAATGGGTCAACACCATTATCACCCAGGGTGCCTTTGGGATTAAAATAAAATATAGAAAAAATTGAAAATAATAATCCCAACTATTGTCGGTCCGCTGATAATAATCTCTACTATTGATTATTTTTGTATAATCCCAACTATATAGATCGTCCGCCAATAATGGTCCATGATCAGATATTACCTCCTATAACTAGTGAATTTTAAATAGAAATTAAGCGTAAAAATTAAAAGTTGGGATTATTTATAGAAATTATTTGTTATATCTCTTCTCATCCACTTTAGAAACTACAAGAACTTATTTATAGGGACCATTATTGGCGGAAGCTCCCTAAAGTTGGGATTATTCTGGAATAATCGATAGTTGAGATTATTATGAGCAGACCACCAATAGTTGGGATTATTACTATCAATTTTTCCTAAAATATAATAGTAATAATAATTTATTAATAATTATCGTCATTACTACAATGCCGCAAAGGCACCTACGGTGGGTTAAGGGGGGCCCTTAAAAGTGGGGTGCAAAGTCCAATATCACCCAAAAAGTGGGGTGCAAAGTCAAATCCCCCCTAATAATATGAATCAATTCTAGAGGTCAAATATATATGAGGTCTAATACTCTAATACTTAAGTACAATGGCAATCTTTATAAAAATAAAAGAATAATAAATAGAAACATCTCATAAATTACCAACAAGTTTTACACATTACTACTACCAACCTTCCCAACACCCACATCCCTACCTCCATCTCCCTTGACATAAATACAACGACATCCAAGCCTTAGTCCCAAAAGAGTTTGGGGTCGGCTAACATGAACCAACATATGAAACCGAAGCTAAAAAGATAAAAAGATAAGGTAATATAAAAAAAAGATAAAAAGATTAAAAAGATAAGATAAAGATAAAGATAAAGATAAAGAAAAGATTATAAAAAAGGATAATAAAAAAGATAAGGTAAAGCGATAAAAAGATAAAGAACGCAAGATAGATAAAAAGATAAAAGTGATGAAATAAGATCAATCCTCCACACAAATATTCTCTCTCACTTCACTCTTTCCAAAGTCACACTCTCATCCAACCCAAGAAGTACCATATCACTCCCACCTCGTCTTATCCACATCCATTTGGATCTTCCTTTCCCTCTCCTCCCCACCTCTTCTCCCCATATCTCAAATTGTCTAACGGGTACAATTCTCGCCCTGCTACACACATGGTCAAACCACTGTAATCGAGACTCTCACAACTCATCTTCAATAGGTGCTACTACCACCTTTTGTCTGAAACTCTAATGGTCTCATTCCTCAAACAGTCTTTTCTAGTATCTCCCTAAAAAAAAAATGAATGATGGATGATATATTAGTCAAATAATTACTCGCCTTATATAAGTCTTACATAAAAATAATAATATAACAATCCTAATAATTTAGGTAGCATAAATCTTAAACATTCCAACTTTCCAATAAGATCAATAATCTAATACTACGCAATTCTTAATCCCACATTTTTATTCTAAACTAATACTCCACGTATTAGTTTAAGGTCATCATTTTCTTCTTCATCCTCCATGTCTCAAGACAGATCTTCCCCAATTTCTGCTCATATTCTCGACAAGTTCATCTCCGTCCACATCATTCAAATCAGAATCAAGCAGCCTATCTCCGATAGTGCAATCTATATTCAGTGCATAAAGGTAGGTATCAGATTACCTTCAATGATGAATCATATAGTTCCTCCTCAATGTGTTTCTGAATGGCAATTTCCCAGTACATGGGACTAATAGCAGCATGATCAACATCTCTGGGCAGAAAATTGTCATACATGGGCAAATCTGCAAATGATTGCCATCCAAGTGGGCCCTGCCATTACAGAAATTACACATACTAAAGGACCCAATCACCCATTTATAGCAAACTGCATAACCATGTGGCAATAATACCAGTATCAAACTATCAATTTGATTTAGCTGCAGATACTTCTACAATAGAATCATGGGCATGCATAACAGCATCAAGCTTTATAGGATAAAGTTCAGTAGCTCAATGTCTAATAATGATGCAAAATATTTATCAGTGATAGCTGGAAAAAAGGAGTTGTAAATTATAATGCAAGCCTTACAGAGCCAGTGCAAGATTTTATTGGCAAAAGCTAAATGCTCTAGCAAGATCTTTACAGATGTATGTATATAACATAGAAACTCCATAAATTGGTTGAACCCAAATAACAAAACTATAAAACACGTATATTTATATTGATGCACTAGTTCCAATCCCCCCAAAGCATCTTTTGTTCCATTGACATCTTTTTTTTTAGGTTAGTCAGGGAAAATGACAGTGTGGTTCTTAGGTAAGGCTTAAGTATTATATCTAGCAATTATTTTGATGTAGTGGTTCAATCTAGATAGTCCGACTTCACTCCCAAAATTCATGTATAACTTATGGAACCAGTATAGCATTCCTGATTGATTTCTTATCCAAAATTTATCACTCTTTTAAACCTAATAGTCAGGTTTAGTTTTCGTTCTCTCAATAATTTCTTCCCATCATGCGAATTATATAACTAAAAATTTATGCTCACTCATTGTGGGTGACCTAGAATCTAGTAGTCTAGTACATAAACTGAATCGAATAACAATTAACAACTGAATGCAGCAAGTAACCTGGATATACAACTGAATCAATCTCCTAACAGACTTAGGGAACCAGCATGGAAGCATCTGTAAAAGGGAAGTGTCACGTCCTGATGAGAAGAAGACATCCTCACGCCAAGCCAAATAGTCTAATAAATCTGAACATGTAAGGGCTGCAGCAAATTTTATTTTTTAAACACATAATCAGGAAAATGTATGACGTGTAGTACATTGCAGATATAAATATGCAGACCAGTAGAGAATTGTAAGCTGCCGTGGACTCACATTTATTCCCAGGGCCCTGAGCATTGCATGTTGGGTCTTGCCCAAAGCATACTGCTACAAGCGCACGCCACAAAGTAGGAAAGCACTGGAGAGCAGACTTCAGATTTTCTAATGTGCACTGAGCAGAGCTATGGTGCCTGCTAACACTTCCACTGCTAAGACAGTCTTGAATTGGTAGAGGAGAATACATTAATGTTGCTAAAGCTGCCATTTCACCTCCTCCTTCTGCAATGTCATCAACTGTTTTTATAATGTCATGTATTTCCATAACACTGACACTATTACTAGGAACACTGCTATGTGAGGCAACTGCACAGGCATTGGAGAATGATGCTTCAAACTCTTTCCCTTTAACCCTTTGTAACAATAACCACCTAGCCCACTGATTATCTCCCTAGACAAGCAGAAGGAATAAAAAAGGATAATCATGAATTCAAACAAGATGCGGTAACAAAACGGCATCTAAGAAGAATAGTCAAAGGGCTAGCTTCTCAGGAAGGCCTTTTTATGGTCTTAACAAGTGATGTAGCCATGCAGGTCAAAATTTTGAAGTAGAGCAAAGAGGTGGGGAAGGGTAGAACCTGTGCAAGAAAGAGTACATGAAGAAAACAGTGCTTATGATTTATCTTGAAACATCTTCAAGCAAGAAAGCAAATAAATAGACGAAAAAGTGTCCGTCTTTTGTTAAATAAATGCTGAAGTCGCCTTAGTGGAATGTATTTGGTACAATGCCAAAAGGCTCCTGTATTCATTGATCAAAAGTCATTCTGCTTTCTGAAACGTGATAACAGACCAAAAGCTGTTCATAATTAAAGCACAACAACTAAAAAAATTATGTTTCTTCATTTAGTTTAAACCAGATAAAAAACTTTTGATGTCTAAATAGTCCTGCCAGCCTCAAAAGAAAAATAAAAGAAAACTATATTGTTTATAGCAATGTTCTAAAAGGCGCAAGGCGCTAGTGGAGCGTCAGCCCAACGCCTATCGCCTAGGCGGGGACTAATTGGAAACATAGGAATTATAGTTTTATCAATATTTTTGCATATATATGATTAGTAATGTTGTGTTTTGGTGTGTATAAACAATATATATACACATTAACATGCATGAATGATAGAGTTGTCACATTTAATAATATATTATTCCTACTCAACTTCATTATGTAGTAAATATTACTCATATTAAATAATAATAATAATAATAACAACACTCAAATTTTTATCATAATCTACAACTAATAACTTTCTTCATATGCGTCGTTAACGTTAAGGGTATATATATTTCTAAGAATTCTAAAATGAAAAAGAAAAATAAAATGTTCGACGAATCTAGTTAAGCGCTCTGGGCGGGCAATTATGGCGCCTAAGGCGGCAGACTAATTCACCTAGACGCCAAATCAATTAGTCGGAGCGCCTAAACTAAAATCGAGGCACCCGACCCCGCCTAACGCCTAGGCGGCGACTAGTCGGACGCCTAGTAACACTCCATCAAAATTTGTTCTTGATGTTTCCTTTATAGACCCTAGGCCGTGAAATTGTGTAGTTGAACTTCATTTGAAAAGGAAAGAATAAATAAGAACCACACAACTATTTCCTTACAAGGAAATGAGAAAAACTTTTTTGGGGTGATCCATAAAGGAAAGTGGGAAGAACATTGACGGACAGCGTTAATAGTAGTTATCACTTCATAATGGAACAGCCTAAGGTTCATGTACTTGCTAAAAGGAAGAAGAAGACTAGTGAGCAATGACCACACAGAAGGCGATTAACATTCATAATCCACAATTGTAAAAAAACAGGTTCATGTACTTGCTAAAAGAAAGCAGAAGACTAGTGAACAAAGACCACAGAGAGGCAGATAAAATTCATAATCCACGATTTTAAAAAATAGGTTAAAATGATAACTACTACAAGAAAAGAGATTTAAATAGATTTCTGTACTTTGAATTCTCTTTTGCATCCATGCAAAAATATACTTTCTACAGATATCATATGTCAAGCACCACATCAAAGATTGCCCTTTCATTTTGATTGTTTGTTGCTATGTAAGACAGAAAAATCTTGGAAAAAACAAGCCTATTGTCTATGTCAAGCTTGAAGTTAAAAAAAAATTAGCGCATATCTTATAGTATTATATTAAACATATCATAAATAATAAAAGCTGAAACTAGTCAACTGACACTACCTGAGACACCAGTTATGTCTGTCCTGAAAGTGAAGATTCACAATTCATCACATAATTTAGATTTAGAAAGATATTATATACCACATCTGTCCCAATTTATGTGTCCTATGTCAGATAATGAGGTCTGACTGAAGTTAAAGTTAAATCTCCCTTAAGTATGTTTAATCAGTATATATAATTAAAAATAACATACTTAGAAACTACACCAAATTTATATTGAACCGCAATAACTGAATTTGTATTTGTTAAAAAATTATACATGGTATCAGAGAATGAAAATAAATTGACCTGACCACATGAATAGTAAAGTTGATAAACAAAATGGGAGAGAGGAAGTACAAACTAATGAGATAAGAATCCAAGAGTGGTGAAACTGGTATTCTAATATCTTAAAGAAATTGTATACTAGTGTATCTAAAATATAATATGGGTTAGATGGGTAAGTAAAAGTTGACTTACTGCTGCATGTTCTAATAAGGAAAGCGCCTCACCATCCATACCCAACTTGTGGTGGTCAAGATAAAGATCTAATAAGTTCAAAAGGTTATATCGAGCACAGTAGTAGACCATGAGTTTGTGAAAAGCTTGGATGGTATTTATCTGACTTATTGAGTCATTCATAGACAGTAATGAATCCGAAAATTTCTCGATGGACCCATCTACCAGCACAGGAGAATCATGTGTGTCAACAACAAAACCAGACCAAGCTAGTAGAGTTACCATCTCCTCCATAGAACCCCAATAATCCTTAAGGAATATTAATTCCTTGGCAAGTTTCTGTTCCACAAGCCCTCGTAACCACATCGAGGAATTGGCGTAAGCAGGGAACCTTAATATTTTGACATTCGGTACATTGAGACTCATAAGATCCAGTTCTTCAAGGTAATACATATAGTTTCCAGAATCAGGGACCTCTAGCTCTTGAGGATATTCAACAATTGGTGGAGAATGTACTCTCTCTAAATTAACTCCCAGGCTTCCATGAGACAGCGCATAAGATGGAATAACCTCCAGAAGTCTTGAAACTTGTAACCAGTCATTGTGGCGCATGTGGTACTCAAGCTGAGATTCCCACAATACATTAACCCCCAAAAGAAATGGTTGATCAAGTACTATCTGTGCAGCAACACAATTCAAAAGTTGTTGATCAGAATGCAACTTCAACAAGAATGGGGAAAAAATAATTACTCGTGTCTCATGATACATGGGAAATTTGGCTTTTGTGTGATTCTTATTTCCTAAATAAAAATAATAATTAAAACTTTCACCTATATCTTGAAATGATTCTCACTAGTCAAATCATTCCAAAATTTTAAAAAAGTTTAGCTAATGTGAATTGAAAAAGGTAATGCACTGTGTTAACATTAAGTGGAAACTGTTGGGATGAACCAAAGAAATGTAGGACTAACAGAGTTGGATAAAAACATCCGTAACCTATTTGTGTCGGGTTAAGAAATACTTTCTCTATATGAGTGTTGTATATTGCAAGTCATGAGAAATTTTGATGTTGTAAGTTGTCAGTTTTATATCAATTAGAGTCATAGTATTTTAAGTGCAACAGTTCTAAAATGTTTCACAATAATGCAAGCCTCTATTTTTTCTCCTCATGAACTCTAAGCATGTGCGGTGTAATGATTGATTCTGCATCTCACTCTGTGACTTTTATGTTTTGGACCTTTGGTAATTATTTTGCCGCAATGGAAAGCATGGAACTCTGGTCTGATAATTCTGTTCTACAAACTAAAGAAAACAAATAGGTCAAAGTTGCGAAGAAGAAAAAGAAAAAGAACTTAAATCACATAAGACAAAGAAGAAAGAGAAGAAGAAAAAGAATAGAGCTTAAGGTGCTCTACTGAATCAAAGTTGTGAAACTAAGCTAAAGTAGAACTCCATACAGTTTGGAAAAATAGTATTTTGTGAAGTAAAATAGAACTGAGTAAAAAAAAAAATAGAACTCAGTAGAGCTCGATGAAGTAATGCAAACCTCAGTAGAGTTCGGTACTTGGTTTAAGTAAAGAAGTGTGAAAGTATATTAGAATATACTTTAGAATATGCTTTAGAATATATTAGGAATATACCATATATATTATTATTGTATAGCATCTTTTATAGGAATATTCTATCTTTGTAATCTATATTTATAGGGCCTTACCCTTCAATGATATATACAGAAAATCTTTCCTCCACTTTCAATATTATTCTAGTTTATATTTCAACATGGTATCAGAGCCTTTCTGTTCCATTTGATTCTAATTTCACAGCCCAGTTTCTTCCCGTTCAGAACATCCCCAGTCCCAGAACCTCAGCAGAACATCCGCCGTCTCAAAACCTCAGCAGAACATCCGCCGTCTCAAAACCTCAGCAGAACATCCGCCGTCTCAAAACCTCAGCAGAACATCACTTTAGTTCATAAACTCAGTCCAACAACTGTCTCACCACCACCACCCTCTGGTTCGCCTGCCGCTGGCGACTGGCGACCTGAAGGCCACACGCCCAAATCAGCGCGCGTGAGCTACACGCGCCGTCAGGAGCTTTGATTGGAACCCATCACCTCACTCGCCGTCGTGTCTTCTACCACATGTATTCGCTATTTCCAGGTATCTTCTGAACATAATCTTGGAAGTCTCACTCGTTTGTTCTCCAGCCAGGGATGGATATATGTTGGCGGGAGGAAGTCTGGTTATTTGGTCGCTGGATTCAGGCATCTGGTATTTGTGGATATATGCCCCCTTCAACTGATTGTTGAGATCGGATATGTGTTACCAGTCCGTTTTATTGGGAAGTCCAAAGGGACGAAGCCTTGGAGCTTTGACTGGAGTCCGTTATTTTGCTGGAGTCCAAAGACCTAGTGGATTACTTATTTCGTTCTCCGAAATTTGAGCCCACGCACGTGAAAGGCTGCTGCAAGTTCATACTGCTATCTAAGTTTTGATTTCAAAAAAGGAAAAAAAAAACAAAAACAAAAAACAAAAACAAAAAAAATGCCTTGTACTGGACAATTTGACAAAGCAGTAATATGTCATTATTGCAAGAAGACCGGAAACTTGATCAAAGATTGCAGAAAATTGTGGTTCAAAAATCAAGGAAATCTGCTTGCTCGTGTTGCTTCCGCTACTAGTTCATCGGATGGATCAATTGCTATTTCTGGTAGTTCGACGAGTATGCCAAATTTATTAGCTACCAAGAATTTCTAAAGCATTCCTCTGTCCCTATCTTGGTAGTCGCTAATTCTGGTATCTCAAACACATGTCTTGTAACTCTTGTTTCATCAACCTCGAAATGGGTCATTGACTCAGGTGTCACAGATCATATGACCGGTGATCCTAGTCTATTCTCGTCATTCCATTCATATTTACCTACTTTCTAGTGTCACTTAACTCACTTTAGTTGATGGATCTACCTCACCCGTTCTTGGATCCGGTACTGTTGTTCCAACTTCTACATTACCATTATCGCTTGTTTTGAGTCTTCCTAATTTTGCATTTAATCTGCTTTCCATCAGTAAAATCACGCGTACCCTTAATTGTTCTGTAACATTTTTCCCTGGATATTGTGTGTTTCAAGATCTGTTAACGAAGCAGACTATTGGTAAAGGACATGAGTCAGCTGGTCTTTATATTTTGGATACATCAATCACAAAAGGTATCTCTTGTCTTGGGGTTGAGACTTTGTTAGATGCTCATAACTGATTAGGACATCCATCTCTCCCATTAATGAAGCAAATAAATCCCCAATTTAATAAGATGACCTCTTTACAATGTGAGTCATGTCATTTTGCGAAACACCATCGTACTAGCTTAAGCCCTTGAGTTAATAAATGAGCAAATGCTCCATTTGACCTTGTTCACTCTGATGTTTGGGATGCTTGCCTGGTTGTGTATAAAGCTGGTTTTAAATATTTTGTTACCTTTGTTGATGACTACTCTCGTATGACATGGCTGTATTTCATGAAACGTCGATCTGAGTTGTTCACTCATTTTTCTTCCTTTTATGCTGAAATTAAAACTCAGTTTAACGTTGTTGTTCGGGTGTTAAGAGGAGACAATGCCCAAGAATATCTATCTGCTACATTTAAGTCATTTATGCTTTAGCATGACATTATTCATCAAACTTCATGTGTTGACACACCTCCTCAAAATGGAGTTGCAGAACGAAAGAACCGACATCTGTTAGAAACTACAAGGGCTCTTCTATTCCAAATGAATGTGCCTAAACAGTTTTGGGCCGATGCCGTGTCTACTGCATGTTTTTTGATAAATCGAATGACATCTTCTGTTTTGAATGGTAAAGCTCCTTATCATTGTCTATTTCCAAACAAAGAGCTTTTTCCTATCCCACCTAAAATATTTGGTTGCACTTGTTTTGTAAGAGATGTTAATCCTCATCTTACAAAGTTAGATCCCAAATCATTAAAATGTATTTTCTTGGGTTATTCTTGAGTCCAAAAGGGGTATAGATGTTTTTGTCGGAGTACAGGTCGGTATCTTGTTTCTATTGATGCATCATTTCATGAAAATACACCTTTTTCATCATCCAAGGCAGATATTCATGAGAGTAATGATGATATACTCATTTACATGATGACTTTTCCCGAGTCCACACTTTCGACAAATATTCCACAAGTTACTATTCCTGACCCTAGGCCTCCCATACATTTGGCATACACCCATCGACACAAAGCACTTGATCACCCTCCACGGGCGATACCTGTGATTACTTATCCTGATACTAGTTCGACTCCAATCTCATGTCCTGAACCAGTACCTGCATCTTCAGATCTTGTCTCTACATCAGACCTTGACCTCCCAATAGAACTACGTCAAGTTACACGGTCTTGTACTCATCCTATTTCTTCATTTGTGTCGTACAATCAATTATCTCCTGCTTCGTGTTCTTTTATTGCTTCCATTGATTTTATTTCTGTTCCCAAATCTGTCAAAGAAGCTTTGTCTCATTCTGAATGGCGTCATGCCATGGTAGAGGAAATGAATGTTTTAGATCTTAATGGTACTTGAGATTTGGTTTACTTGCCTACAGGGAAGAAATCTATTGGATGTAAGTGGGTCTTTGCTGTTAAGGTTAACCCAGACGGATCTGTTGCTCGGTTGAAAACCCGATTAGTTGTGAAGGATTATGCTCAAACCTATGGTGTTGATTATTCTGACACTTTTTCTCCTGTTTCTAAATTAACATCTGTCAGGTTACTTATTTCACCCCGTGCAACTCATGATTGGCACTACATCAGTTGGACATTAAAAATGCATTTTTGCATGGTGACCTTAAGGAAGAAGTCTATATTGAGCAACCTCCGGGATTTGTTGCTCAGGGGGAGTATGGTAAAGTTTGTCGACTTCGCAAGTCTCTTTATGGTCTGAAACAGAGTCCTCGTGCATGGTTTGGGAAATTCAGTCAATCAATTGAACAGTTTGGAATGATAAAAGGCAAATCAGATCACTCTGTCTTTTACAAACAAACGGAATCAGGTGTCGCATTGCTTGTGGTGTATGTTGATGATATATTGTGATTACAGGGAGTGATAATTCAAGTATTTTGGCCCTTAAGAATTTTTTGCATAGTCAATTCCAGACGAAGGATCTTGGCTCATTGAAATACTTTCTGGGAATTGAGGTAACACGAAGTAAGAAAGTCATTTTTCTATCTCAACGTAAATGTGTACTTAACTTACTAGCCGAGACATGGAAATTAGGGGCAAAACCAAGTACAACACCCATGGTTCCCAACGTGCAACTCACTCAAGAAGGCACACCGTTTGAAGACCCGGAAAGATATGGAAGATTGTTTGGAAAGCTTAATTATCTCGCAGTCACTCGTCCATATATTGCGTATTCTATGAGTGTAGTGAGTCAATACATGTCATCTCCAACCATTGATCATTGGGCTGCAGTAGAACACATATTATGTTACTTAAAGGGTGCACCAGGATGAGGTATTGTTTATCAAAACCATGATCACATGAGAATAGAATGTTTAGCAGATGCTGATTGGGCCGATTCTAAAGATGATCGAAGATCTACATCTGGTTATTGTGTCTTTGTTGGTGGTAATCTTGTATCTTGGAAGAGTAAGAAGCAGAATGTGGTTTCTCGTTCAAGTGCTGAATCAGAATATCGAGCTATGGCACAATCTGCATGTGAGATCATATGGATAAGCCATTTATTGACTGAGCTTAGACCGGAGACATCAATGCCTGCTAAATTGTGGTGTGATAACCAAGCTGCTATACACATAGCAAACAATCCTGTATTTCATGAGAGAACAAAGCATATTGAGGTTGATTGTCATTTTATTCGAGAGAAGATACAAAAAAGATTGATCTCTACATGATATGTGAAGACTGGGGAACAACTTGGAGATTTGTTCACTAAAGCACTAAATGGAATTCGAGTTGGTTATTTATGTAACAAGTTGGGCATGATAAATATCTATGCTCCAACTTGAGGGGGAATGAGAAAGTATATTAGAATATACGTTAAAATATGCTTTAGAATATATTAGGAATATACCATTTATTATTATTGCATAGCATCTTTTATAGGAATATTCTATCTTTGTAATCTATATTTATAGGGCCTTACCCTTCAATGAAATATACATAAAATCTTTCCTCCACTTTCAATATTATTCTAGTTTATATTTCAACAAGAAGAGCCTAGTAGAGTTCACTAAAATAAAGTTCAGTGAAGTAAAGCTCAGTAGAATTGGTTAAAGTAAAGTCGATCCCTGTATTCACCAAAGTGAAGCACAAAACTGATAGAGTTCAATAAAGTAAAAGTGGCTCTCTGTATAGTACACCAAGTAATGACTTAGCCATAACTTGGTGGAATTGAAGATGCTCGCGTGGACACCAGAGTTTAAGATGACTTGGCCATTTCTCTAAGCTACCAATGCAGTCAATTTACCAGCTTTCAGTTAGCAATAACTACTTAAGAAATAAGTTATTGTAGCACAGCAAGGGGAAAAAATATTACAATAGCTGCTTAAAAAGCTATTTCACTCAAGGGAAATCATAACTAAGGGAGTAAAATAGTACTAAACAGATTTTAATAAAATAGCAAGAGAAAAAAAAAGTATGTAAGAACCAAACTGAAAATTGATAAAAATAATTACAGGAATGATAACACTAAAATGTTTATACCCTAAATTAGAATTTCAATTAAAAATCCACATTCGCACACGTAGATGAGAAACAGAGGTTTTAAAAAAATGAGAAGAGAAAGAGAAGGCTCATGAACATCCTGACAGTGACTTACACAATCAACTATGTGCTGATCCCAGGCATCAGACCATGCAGCAGCAGCTGTCCAATAGCTTCTGTGGATACTATCATCATCGGTTTCTGAATGAGTTGTGTGCTCAAAGGAATTTGCCCATGGACCCAACACAACTCCATCAAGCTCTCCACATTCTATGACAACATCTCTAGCCAATGGATGCAATATTTGCAAGCTTAGTTCTCCTGCCATATTACCATTGAATTCCCCATTTATCTCTTGATGCAGGCTACTGAAAGTGCTCATGAAACTGCTGCAAGGATACACCCTCTAGTAGCAAAAAAGGGTTCGTGAGTCAGCAAAATCAATCTAAACTATAAGCATTTAATAAAGTGTTTGGAGGAATAAAACTAGAGTAGTGCACCTCAATAAGTGCTATCATCTCTAAAGTCTTCCGCTCATGTGCTCCAAGATATCCATATTTTTTCATAAGGTCAACTATTTGTACCCGAAGAGATCTCCGAACAGTGCCAAAAGCTAACTGCTTAAGGCTGATTTCAATATCTTCACCAAGCTTTTGTAGTGTTGCCACTGCAATTCCAGTCTCACCCTGATCATTAAAAGTATAAAAATAAAGTAACGAAAAAAGAGATATGAACTGTGTCATGACTAATATCAAGAGGCTACCTTCAGGAATAAGTCATAAGCTATTGCTCTTCCAACTTCACGGACTTCACTGAAAGTGTCCTGGGTTTCCGGATCCGGTAAGTCTTGTAAACGATGAAGATGCAACTTAAGAACTGCCAAAGGAAGACGGCCAGAAAGTATAGCATCTTTTACAATTGCTTTAAGGTCCAAATCGTCTGATTCCCACCTAGCAATCATGTCTTTAGGATTCTCTAAAGCTAAACTACTCTTGAATCCCCAGCCATCCACAGGCATCAAAGCAAGAGGCTCATCATTAGTTGACTCCAATTGAACTGCAGGCACTACAGATTCTCTTTGGTTAGAGCAGTCAAATGGTAAGACATCTCTAGAAAGATCATGAGTCTTTAAGTCTTCCAATGACTCTGTATCGGTTAAGAGGCCATCACGATCAACCTACAACACAATGCTATAAGGTGTTTTTTAAGGAGGACTACTTTCAAAGTTTCAAGCAGCACGAACAAACACAAAAACCTACCAATCCTTGGCCAGGCCTCTTGAACTTAGAGTTTAGCCGCCACTGCAACCTCCGAATTATCTCCATGAAATGAGCCATCTTCTGAATTTTTATTGAACTCCCCAACTTTTCAGCCCTCATATCTATTATCTGCAGCATGTGAAGAGGGTTTCCCACATGTTGACCATTCCATGACGTTGAATTATCTCTTTTGTGCAGTAATAAACCACAAGTGTGTATGATCTTGGTTGCAAAACCAGTGGCCAAAGCAAGCAGCCTGTATATTCAATTTATTGTATATAAACTGAACATAATGCACTATTGAAGCAAATAATTTAAAGATGACAACCATAAGTTGCAGTATGACATGGCTAAATTCTAATCCAGCTATACAGATTAGAAAAAATAAGTTTATCGTTCAGGAGTAGCGACATGATCTTAAATTGCCAGCAGCTAAGTTCAAGTACAGAGCATCGCATAATAAGGAATGCAACTTCACTGTAAGCTTAAGTAATTATTGAACTAGGAAATTAAAAATAAATACTACAAGTTTCAGTAAGAATTAAGAAGTAGTAAAATTCCAATACATTATAAAAACTAAACTGGATTAGTTCATCATTCAGTATACTATCTAAAAATTAGTAGCAGATAACAAAACTGAGTTTTGTGACAAAAAAGTGAAAAATTATGTGCAAAAAATACACAAAAACCGCAATACACCCAAAAGTAATAAAAAAGCATGAAGGAAATATGTCAAAGAATTGAAATTAAAAAACGCATTACCCAATTCGACATACAACCTGATAAGACTGCACGGCTATACGCTCATATTAGGCAATTATGACTGACTGACTGAGGAACTAAATGAATGAAAAGTAAGGACCACCTGAATAGGCATGTAAGCCCTTGCATCTTGGCTAAATAGCATCCATTTTGAAATTTTGCTACCTAATGGGTTCTGTGTATGGAAAACTAATAGAGGTACATAACTAAATATGCTTAATTTCCTTGACACTAGTTAGTACAGGGATCATTGTAGATATATAGCAGGTTCACTAGAACACAGGTTGGTATTAGTTCTCAGCTTGCATTCAACCAATTTAGTCCATTTTAGCATAATATCCGCTAATATGCATTGTGATAAACAGTTATTTCTAATAGAATGCTACTCACACCCAGAGCATGCAATATATATTCTCACCTTATTGTAAGCTGAAGAAAGAGAAACTGTGATTAAAATTAACTAATAAATTAAGAGCATATAAACCAACATACCTCGATGCAGCAGAAATATCACTCTCACTGCAAACTTGGTGGGATATTAGATAAACAGAAGCAAATAGCAATCTCAAAATGCCCTCTTCAGCTAAATTGGCATCCACAAGCATTTCTAGGGAACTGTTATATTCATTAATCATAATGGCCTCTGAATTGTTCTAGCAAACATATAACTTAAAACGCCAGTAGATAAATGCAAAAATGTGTACATGTATTGAAATCTTACTTCTCTATCTCCTCAAATTTGAGGTAATCCAATGCAAGCTGTAAGCACCGTATTCGGGATAAACTTAAATCCCAACCTAAATATAATTTAAAGATAAGTCAGAGACAAAAATCATTTCCAATGACATCAAAATATCCATCAAAGAATCCAACAGAATGTCATCATAAGCACAAACAAAATATGTACTCCCTCAATTACACTAAGTATGGGACAAGGAACATAGCACATAAGCTAAGGAAAAAGATAATTGTTTCATTGGCATTGAATTTGTAAAAGTATAAATGATAGTAAGCCACTAAATAAGACCACATATGGCATGGACAAACATAAGGGACACATCAAAACGGTAAAATGTGAAACAAAATGGGATAGAGGACTGATAATTAAGAAAATTATGCCGGCTTATATCCAAACTAGATAAATTTGAGCGAAGTCAAAAATGGTATAGGGGATTGACACCAAAGAATAAATATAGAAGTGTGATAGTTTTTTCAAAGGGAAGCGTGATAATTAGTTTTCCAGTTTAATATCTACTTCAAAAAAAATTTGCTGGTTTGGCAAAGAGCTTATAACCACGAAACAAAGTTGGATTTATGCAATGAGCTGTGCCCGCTTGGTAGTTTTCGAGTTAAAGTATTAAAAGTTGCAAAAATAGCTAAAGAACGTATTTTCTCACAAACCGTGAATCCCTACAGTGAGATGAATGAGAATTGAGAATGAATCGGTATAGTGAATACACATGCCCCTTAAAAGTGCACTGAAATGTCACTAAGTCATGGGTTCAAATTGTCGGAGTTGGCTTTTTTAGAATCCCAAAAACATACAACAATAACAACAACATCCAAGCCTTATTCCCAAAATATTTTGGGGTCGGTTAACATGAACCAATCCATGATATCAGAGCCAAAAAGAGAAGAAAGATAAAGAAAATAAAAAGATAAGGTAAGATAAAATGGATAAGATAAATATATATAAGATAAAAATAACATAAGAGCATAAGAAAGATAAAAGATAAAAAGATAAAAGAACATGAGAAAGATGAAATATAAAAATTACATAACAACACAGAAAGATAAAGAAGATAAAAGATCAAAGAAAACAAGAGAGAGAGAGAGAATCCCAGAAACATTGTGAAATATAAGATTGTATTCATTATACTTCATGTGAAATCCTATACAAGAAGCTATATTTATAGCTATATTTAGAGTACTAGGGTTTCCTATACAAGATATACAACTGGGCTAAGCCCAATACTACTAGGGTTTCCACACTCCCCCTCAAGCTGGAGCATATAAATCATATGTACCAAGCTTGTTACAAATAAATTCAACCCTACGACCTCTAAGAGACTTAGTTAAAATATCTGCAAGTTGTTCAGTTGTGTTCACATATTTTGTGATGATATGTCCACTCGTGATCTTCTCTCGGATAAAATGACAATCAACTTCAATATGTTTTGTCCTCTCATGATATACCGGATTTGATGCGATGTGCATTGCAGCTTGATTATCACACATGAGTTGAACCGGTTTTGTGTTTCCATATTTTAACTCTTGGAGGAGATGCTTCAACCATAAGATTTCACATGTAGCAAGAGCCATTGCACGATATTCTGCTTCAGCACTAGATCTGGCAACCACATCCTGTTTCTTACTTTTCCATGAAATTAAATTTCCACCAATCAAGATGCAATATCCCGAAGTGGAACGTCTATCCATCGGACATCCGGCCCAGTCTGCATCACAGTATCCCATAATATCATGGTGGCCTCGATCTTCAAACAACAATCCTTGCCCTGGAGTTTTCTTGATGTATCTCAAAACTCGGATAGCTGCATCCCAGTGTCCAGTACATGGCTTATCAAGAAACTGACTAAGAACACTTACCGCAAATGAAATATCTGGTCTTGTGATGGTAAGATAATTCAATTTGCCGATGAGTCTTCTATATTTTTCCTTGTTAGGCAAAAGATCTCCATGTTCTGATAAGAGTTTAACGTTTGGATCCATTGGTGTATCCACTGACCTGCAATCTAGCAAACCTGTTTCCTCCAAAATATCCAAGGCATACTTTCTTTGTGAGAGAGAAATTCCATCTTGAGATTGTGCGACCTCAATCCATCTTTTGTTTGAAATTTGCTAAACAGATGTTGCTTGAGGAGCACAATTCCTTGATCATCGCTACCTGTAATGACAATGTCATCAACATACACAACAAGATAAATACATTTGTTGCCAGCAGAATGTCTGTAGAATATAGAATGGTCAACATCACTGCGAATCATGCCAAAGCTGCAGACAACGGCACTAAACCTCCCAAACCATGCACGTGGAGATTGCTTCAAGTCATATAATGAACGACGTAATCTGCACACCATACCAGACTCCCCCTGAGCAACAAATCCAGGTGGTTACTCCATATAAATTTCCTCGTGCAGATCTCCGTGAAGGAATGCGTTTTTAATATCCAATTGGAACAATGGCCAGCGGCTCATTGCTGCCATGGATAAAACAAAACGAACTGATGCAATCTTCGCTACAGGAGAAAAAGTGTCAGTGTAATCCAAGCCATATATCTGAGTATACCCTTTCGCCACAAGGCATGCTTTAAAACGATCAATCTCCCCATCAGGCCCCACTTTAACTGTGTAAATCCACCGACATCCACCACTGATTTGCCAGCGGGAAGGGGGACTAAGTCCCATGTCCCACTAGAATGAAGAGCCTCCATCTCAGCCAACATGGCTTTACGCCACTCCGGGTGTGTCAGTGCCTCAGGTGTGGTTTTAGGAATGCATATATGAGACAAGTGGGAAATAAAGGCATAGTAAGGGGTACAGAGGCGGTGATAACTCAAAAAATTATATATGGGATGTGGATTCAATGTGGAACGCGTACCTTTTCGGAGAGCAATGGGCAAATTATCCTGAGTGGTGTCATATGCTGGAGTAGGTGATGGTGGTGATGCAGGATCCGTCATAGGGGAATCAACGGGCGTGGCCACGATGGGCTCAATGGGAGGAGGTCGAGGACGTCGATGGTATACCTGTAATGGACGGTCTGACATAGGAGGGCAGTTTGGGTGCTCATCAGATGGGGCGTTAATGGGAGTCTCCTGATGGATGGGCCGAAGATATGAGGTGAAGTCCAAACATGATGGGGTATCAACTGAAGATAATGGATAATAAAAGGACGACTCAATGAAAGTGACATCGGCTGAAATAAAATGTTTCTTAAGTAATGGAGAATAACAACGATACCCCTTTTGGAGTCGCGAATATCCAAGAAAGATACATTTTATTGACCTAGCCGCCATTTTAGCTAATCCAGGTGTCGTATCATGGACAAAACACACGCACCCAAACACATGAGGTGGTAATGGAAATAAATCACGAGCAGGAAACAAAATAGAATAAGGAATTTCGTTATTAAGAACTGAGGAAGGCATTCTATTTATTAAATGACACGCAGTGAGCACAGCATCAGCATCTGCCCAATACTGAGGTGGTGTATGGGAATGTAATAATAGGGTACGAGCAATATCAACCAAGTGTCAGTTCTTGCGTTCAGCAACCCCATTTTGTTGAGGTGTGTGAACACAAGAAGATTGGTGAAGCATACCCCGTGATGTCATGAATTGATTAAAGGATGCCCCAAAAAATTCTTTAGCATTGTCACTGCGTAAAATTTTTATAGAATGACCAAACTGGGTTTGAATTTCAGCACAAAAAGTTTGAAAAATATGAAACAATTCAAAACGCTCTTTCATTAAAAACAACCACGTGTAACGGGAAAAATCATCCACAAAAATAACAAAATAACGGAAACCTAAAGTAGAACTGACTCGATACGGACCCCATACATCTCTATGAACTAAATCAAACGGTGATGTAGCCCGTTTATTGACTCGCCTTGGAAAGGAGTTATAAGGTTGTTTTCCAAGGTGACATGACTCACAATCTAAAGATGAAAGATTTGAGAAACCTGGAACCATACGTTGAAACTTTGAGAGACTAGGATGACACAGACGGTTATGTAAGGTAATAGCAGGTTCAATTGAAACACAAGCGACTGGATCAAAAGGATGGAGATGATACAGACCTTGAGATTCGTGTCCGACGCCAATCGTTTTCCCGTACAACGGTCCTGCACAATCACAAAATCAGCAGAAAATGTTACAGAACAATTAAGAGCACGTGTAATTTTACTGATAGAGACGAGGTTAAAAGGGGTGTTTGGGACATATAAGACGGAGTCTAACGGTAAGGATGAAAATGGAAGTGCTTGCCCAATACCCGAAGCAAAAGTTTGAAGGCCATTAGCAAGAGTAATCAAAGGAAGATGTCGGTGCTTGGTAATATGGGATAAAAGATGGGGATTACCAGAAATATGGTCTGAGGCACCTGAGTCAATGATCCACGAGCCTGTTGTGTTTGAAACACAAGCTGTAGACATCCCGGGTGGGGGTAAAGATATTAGTCAACTTAAATTGCTGATATGCTGCATATTCTTCCGGTGATAGAACAATGGGAGATGGTGGTAGCTGAGCAACATGGGCTGAGGGAGGAAGTCTCCCATGTAATTTCCAACACCTGTCTTGAGTATGACCAATTTTATGACAAAAATCACATTTAGGACGATTCCATCTTGAGTATCCGGTGTTGTTTCCTCTGTCAAAACTCATAAGAGTCATATTTTTTTTATGCTGATTTGATTTTTTTTTCTTTTTTTTAATCAAAAGAAAATGAGTAAATTAAAAGTGAATTTAGTGCTTTGTAAATAATAAGGCAGAGAGAGCACCAGGAAGCCAGACTTGGCAGTAGCAGCGGACAAGAGCAACCAGTCTTGGACTCTGGCAGTAGCAGCGGATGAGAACAGGAGTTCACGACACAAACCTGACTTCGGCGAAAAGGGTAGAGCAGCGGCGGGCAGGCGGAGCGACGGCGACAACGCGAGTGTTCGGCGGCGGCACGTAGGTTCAGCGGCGGCGCGTGGGTTCGGCGGCGGCGCGTGAGTGTCCGATGAGTGCCTGTGTTATGCTGTTATGGTTGCCAGAAGCTCCAGGTCTTCAGTGTGT